GTTGCAAAAGAGCTGTCGGATATAAATTATTGAATATCTATCGATTGCTGTTTAAATCTAATTAACATCAAATAGATTGTTGTTCTCAACAATACTGTACTATGATTGTTTGTTAACTCATTCCATAACAGTTGTTACAACCCCAACTCAGAAAAACAGTATGGAAAATGCAAATAAAGAAAGAAAGCAGTGATTTCTAAAATTTACTTTGACTTGTATTTCATTGCATACAGTAGGAACACAAGATATTTCAAATAAATAAACATACATCCATTCCTACCATTCACGCCTGCAAGAAAAAAGTTGAGACAGGGGAGTTTAGGGCTAATAATGAGGTAAAATTAATAAATTATGATGTGATTTAAAACAGATGATTGTAATCATGATTTGGTACAAAAGCACATCCAAGAAAGGCGTAGTCTTTAAGGAGCAAAGATGGGCTGAGGATCACAAGTTTGCCAACAAATGCATGAGAAAATTATTAAAATGTTTAAAAAATAATAATGTTCCTCAAAGAAAGATGATTAAGTTATTGGGATATTTCACACTCTACGGTGCATAACAGGTAAAAGATTCAAGAAATCTGGAGGAATTTCAGCGCATAATGGTGCAAAGGCGCAAACCTGAGCTGAGTAACTTTATTCTCTAATACCTCAGACAGCACTGCATCATGAACCGTCATTCATCCATAAGCGATATAATCACATGGGCTCAGGAATACTTTGGCACTACAACATGTAGTTACGTCCACAAATGTCAGTTAAAACTTTACTGTGCCAAAAAGTAGCCATATGTTAACCGTGTCTGGAAACGATCACACAGTGGAAACACACATGGTGGTCAGATAAAGCAGTATTTTTGGAAGAAATGGGTGCTGTGTGCTCCAGACAAGTCCAAAAGTCAGGGTCTGTCATGGTATGGCGTTGTGTCGGTGCCCTTGGCAAAGTTCTGTGATGGCACCATTAATGCTGAAAAGTACATAGTAAGCAACATATGCAGCCTGCAAGATGATCTATTCCAGGGATGCCCACGCATATTTCAACAACACAATGCAGAATCACATTCTGCACACATTACAAAGTCATGGCTGAGGAAGAAGAGGGTGTGGATGCTGGACTGATCTGCCTGCAGTCCCAACTTGTCCCCAGCAGAGAATGTATGAATGTCATTTTAAAACACAAAATGCTGAACTGAACTGAACTATGACAACCCCATACTGTTGCACACCTTAAAGTTGTTTGCTGGACGAATAGGACAAATTTACACCTGAACTGCTTCATCACTTGGTGTCCTCAGTCCCTAAATTGTTGTGAACATTACAAAGTGGTAAATGATTTTTTGTCCCAACTTTTTAAAAATATGTTGCAGAAATCAAACTGAAATGCATTTGTTTTGAAAAAACAACAAACTTAATTTATACACTCTTTAAAAAAAATTGAGCGATGCCATTGAAGAACGCTTTTGGTTCCCTAAAAAACATTTGTGCATGTGAAGAACATTTTAAATGTTCAGAGAACCTTCACATGATTTATAGGTTCTTCACCAGTTTAACAGTTCTTGAAACTTTACATCATGTGGAGGTTCTTTAAACCTCTCACCTACACATCTCATTAGCACAAACAGTTCTCCAAAGAAAGCAGGGCCATAACTAGGATCTAAGTTTTAGTGAGGTCTGGTTTGCAGAAAGTGACTCACATCATATAGTGAATAAACTAACTACCGAATATGTGTTTTACACACACAATTCTTTGCATACTTCCGTAAATGTTATGTACTTTTTCCTTTCCTTTGTTCATTTGCCATCCTTACATTCTTCCATAAACCACTATTACTCTTCCATAAACTCATTTAACTCCACTGCTCTTGTTTAAGTTCATTTAATTAATCACTAAACCATTTATTTACATATTTCTTTACAGCTACCTGTTGTAACCTATACATTGCGTATACACAATACAATGTCGTATTTTTGAAATGATAATTTTACAAGAGAAGAAAAAAACCTACTTTACTTTTAATGTAAGTCAATGGAACCAGACTTTTTTTCCATGTCATTTTGGGCTGTTTCTTTTGGTCCATTCTTCATGAAATTTACACACAATGTAAAAGACAAAAGGTGTTTTTAAATCATGTTAAAAACTGAAAACGATGGAGATACAAGGTTTTCTTCTGACAGCAGGATATATGAAATCAGGTTCTAGTTTCAGATTTATTTTATTCTCTCTCTCTTCTTGGTCCTCACTGATCTCTGATCTGTCTCTACCAAACTCCAGCTAACAGGAAAGTAAGGCTACTTATGTGGCTAATGAGACAAAACACAGAATAACAAACATTGATTTCTTGATTATAATACTTTGCCATCAATATGCTAATTAATTAAATTCATTAAATTAAGTGAACTTTCTCATGCTGGTTGTAGGGAAAAGTAGGTAACACAATGCAACTTACATTTGTCATCTAATCGGTACTTTAACCAACTAAGGAAATTCTAGCCTGAACTGAGCAGCTATTGGAACTGGGCTAAAGGATGCTGACTAGCTAGCAACATTATAAATGGTCCAAATGAAAAACAATTATGTGGTTTGAATGATTACAAGATTAATTTAGCATTTTAAAAGCACAGTCAGTTAATTACCCTCATGAACTCTCACAGTTTGATCATAGCTGTGTTGTTTGTTGGCCTATAGTATGCGTGATGCATACTTGAACATCTCAAGATGTCACTCCGTTTAGTTAAGCATCTCATACAGAGATAAACATAGAAGACAGTTAAGTCTATGCTAAACCACAGCTATTCTGAGGGCAGCTGAGAACCAGACACTGCTCACTGAAGTCTCTTGTTTCCATATTGAATCACATAAAGCCTTTCAAACATTCTGAGGACCTCGAAGTTCTCATGTTAGTAACGAATGTGACACGTGCTGATAATGAGGTCTTGAGGGAATGGCAGATAGCAATGGTTGCTATGCAGTGATAAGAGGGCTAAGAAAATAAAGAGGAGCTTGGCAGAGAACAAATCAAAGTTTATTATCTTAAAAAATGTAGCTTAATAAATATTCCATCCCCATTTGATTAGGTAGGCTGCACGGCTATACCTGTGGCAGTGCTCCAGAATGAGCTACCGCTTTATCAGAATAACACAGTTTCCACATTAAATGTCATGAATAAAGATCCATGAAGAAAAACCTCTGAAACTAATGAGGTCTGGACTTCCATGTCCTCATAGCTAGTTATGACCATGATTGAAAGTTTCTTTAGGGAACATAACATGCTTCTTCTATTTTTTGGCACCCTTATTTTTAGAGGTGTAGGCTGTAACATAACAAAATGGGGAAGAATGAATGGGTGTGAATATTTTCTGAATGCGTTTAAAGTATGAGAAATTCTGGGAGACACTTGAACTTCAGTAATCTTAAAACATAGTTTATGAAGCACAACAGAGCTTTGGAGATCCTACCCCAGTTTATTTATATTTTACAAAGCACGACTGACCTAAGCCTCAAATTGTGCCTGTTTGTGATATATTATAAAGAAAACAAGGGTCATATCTCTTACCAGTAACCAGGACCTGGACTGAGTTATATCCCAATGCTGTCACATTCTTCAAAGCATATCTGTATAATGAGTACACACAACTGTATTTGCCAGAGTCCAGCACCGAAACATTTCTGAAAATGAAGGTGTGGTCATCTTTGTTTCCGAGTGCTTCCACTCTCACTCCAGCACCATTTTTAGACAGATACATGAAGAGCTGGTTGGTTGATAGCTGTTTTTCTGAGATGACACACTTTAACTGTAAGTTTCCCCCCTTTTTCACTGTGGTTGTTCCAGAGATTTGTGCTGGCCAGATTTCCATTGGGTCATCTATTGTTTAAAACAATAAAATGTTGTATTAGTTGTGATCAATGTTATTCTTTTTCTTTTGTGATCATTTTGCTAAAATTTAGTTTAAATGTGAAAAGAGTAATTGAAGAACTTGTGTAAGTAAAACAACCAGTGATAGAAAAAATACTTTTACTGGAAATTCTGATATGGTCAGTGTTAATGAAAAATCTTTCAAAGACAAAGTAGAGAAAAAAAAGTAATGTAAATGGCATACTAGCAATAGACAGGGGTTGAAATATTTAGGAGACTGTTTCTTTCTGAGACACTTTATAGTGGAGGTTTCAAGTAAAACATGCACATTTTTTTGAATGCTTCCCAAAAGTGATTTGCAATTGATTGCAGCAGATTTTTTTAACCTTGCCTGATCACTAATCTGACAAAAAAGGATTATCAAAACTCATCATTTGATCAGAACCTCAAATTGTGATGTTGTTAGCATCCAAAGTAATCAAAATGCAAATTGAGAAATGAGTGTATTGATTTGATTAAAATTGTAACAACAATTTTTCAAATTATAGGGTGTGTTTCTTGAAAACTTTACAGTGCAGAGTACAATCAATGCAAATTGTAGTTTGAGATTATTTGCATTTAATTATTTGTAAGTATGCATGCTTCCATAACTCCCTTGTTATTGAATGTGTTATGTCCTTTATGTGGTTATTTAACAAGGCAGCTAATCCATTTGTTAATCCCAAAGTGATTCCTGAATTTACTCTGCCCTTCTATGAATTACAAAGTGGGGACTTGTGATGATATACAAAGTTTATGATGCACTTTGACTGTTACAATGCTTTCAGGAAAATGACCAGTTCATTTACACAGTATATCTGACCTAATCTTAAATTAACATCTTCACTATTTGTACGGTCATTCTATAGTATGACTATGGAAAATGTTGGATTATATTTCTTACCAGTGACATTGACATGAATTGATTTTTGTCCTGATGTCTTCACGTCCTTTGCAGCATATTTGTTTAGTGAGTAGACACAACTGTAGTTTCCCGAGTCCAGCACTGAAACATTTCTCAAAATGAAGATGTGCTCATCTTTCTTTACAAGTGGCTTCGTTCTCACTCCAACACCATCTTTACACAGATACATGTTGAACTGGTTAATAGAGTCACTTTTGTCAAAGATACTACACTTTAGCCGTATATCTCCCCCAGCTTTCACAGTGGGGCTTCCAAAAATTGCTGCTGGCCAGAAACCAGGAGAATCATCTATTGATCCAAAACAATAATATGATATATCACTTCAGATCAGAACAATAATCTCATGATTGTAGTAAAATAATATATTTGAAGGTAATTTAATGTAATCAGTATGAGCAGAAGAAATAAAATACCTTTCGTAGGGGATACTGATACAATCATCAGTAAGGAAATGTCTTTACAAGACAAAAATAGATGGAAAAATAAAAAATTAAAATAGTTTAATGAGAAAACATAACAAGAAAATGGTTCTTTATTAAAGCTCCTTATGTTTGCCAGCTATGCTTAAGTAACATTTAAACAAATAAATTTACAACTGAATTATTCTTAAAAATAGTTTAAATGAAATAGTAAAGGTTACTTACATATAATGAAGCACAATGTCTCCATGCTGATCAAACCTGACACCTGAACTTGAACTGTAGCTGCTGGGTGAAGCTTTATTAACCTCACTGTAACCAGCCCAGTTCTTCTCATTGGATAGTGACAACACAGAGCTGTTTAAACAGCACCCTGGATTTTTAGTCTGTCAGGCTGTTTGTATTAATACACATGCTCGATTACGTTCTAAGATGTTTTCATTGAGTGCCTCTCTACCTGATATATCAAAGGCGTTCCCTCTATGTGCCATCTAGATACCTCTAAAATGGGAGCAAATCATCTCTGAAAATTTCTCTTCATCAACTCCATGCCGATGGCCATGCCTGGTGGCTCATGGGAAGCACTGCCCCTTCGTAAAAGGGACTTAAATGTTGTTTATGTCGTTGTTTGTCAGTTAAAGGTATGTGGTATGTATGTATTATTATTATTTTGGGCTCTGTTTATTGTATTGGGCTGTGGGTGTTTTGTGCTTGGTTGTTAGTCACCACAGAGTAGATGCAGTTGGCTGATGGTGACCTCCCCTTCAGGTTTGACCCCCATATCATCCATTTGCCGTGCTGAACAGCTTTATATCAATACAGGTTTAGGCCAACAGCTCTGAACCAACAGTTTTAAAACGTAAGTGTACACTTTATAAGGATGGCGGACAGCGTGGTGAGTAGTTGTTTTTTTTATGTTTTTTTTATGTTCTATGTTTCTTTTTTTCTAATTGTAATGTTTTATTTAACTTGTAATTACAGGAATGCATGAAGCTATCTGCTCTGATCATTGAAACGTAGGTAGTTTGTAATTACATGCTATGGACAATTTCAGTACCATTAGATTTATTTGTTTAAACACCTGACACATTATGGCTGTGATGTCAAAGTCATAAATGGCTTTGTGCACTGATTGTTTAGTTTTACATATTTCAAGTACAGTTCTACAAATACTGGTACTTGCTGTAGACTTAGAATCACATCAAATTCATCAAATTCACGTGTTTTATTGTTTATTTTTTAGACATGTCTAATGAGGGAAGTCACTACCTCATTTGAATCAGTGCACAAGCTGTTGCAACAAATACCCCTGTCCTTTTTGTTCACCTAGTTCAGCAACCCAAATGTTAAGGAGAGCCATTTTGTCCTTTCAACAAAAATCAAACCACCTTGGGAGCCAAAACATTTTATGTCCATTTTACCATCTTCGCTGTAAATGTCTCAGTATGTGCTAATGTGCTAGTATAGGCTAAAAAATATAAAATAAACAAAAACACAGACTTACCTTGCTCTGCTTTAACATTTAGGTCAGCTATAGCCGCTTTTCTCACATCTCAGTCAGGAAACTTTTCTGCAAAAGTAGAGTTTGTTGTAAAATATCTCTCAACATTCAGCTTCTCATTTGCAGCTTGATGTTTGAATTTTCCCGTTCCACCTTAAATGGCACTAGAAAGTAACTGCTGCACCATTTAAGGTGGAACGGGATAATTCAAGGGAGAAGCTGGCGAAACGACTTTTTAGTGTTTGACAGTTTCTCGTTGCAGATTAATCGTATCAGGAAACCAGCTGGAGTGATTATAAATGCAAAGAAGCCCAATTGTCTGCAATTTATTGATGTCTGTCTTAAATCTTTCTCTTTGCTGTTTTGTTAACTACTAACTAGGCGAGATTGTTATCTGCGTTGCTGTGTGCAGTTTGTGTGCCCACGTTCAGGGTTAAAGGTTAGCAGTTATGCATTAACTCCAGCATTTAAGAACATTTATTGTGAAAACTGTGTTAGAGCTGTGTGTTATAATGACCAGCAGATCTTTATTTTACCTCAAAATAGGATTATGTTATTTTTACCTTAAAATGTAGTTTTGCTGTGGAGCCACAAAAGGTCACTAAAAGAGTCGCATGCGGGTCCAGAACCGCATGTTCCCAAACCCTGACCTAGTTCATTTATTCCTGAAAATTGGACATTTTAACCATTTATTAACTTTAGAGGTTCGGTGGTTGAATCATGTTTGCTAGAGATGAGGAAAGAGGACAAGAAGAGGGCCCACCAGGAATAAACATTAACTATTAAATCCTTGTTGTGAATCCTGATTCTTACTTTGTGCATTGATTATGATATTCTTTATTATCTTTATTTTACTAGTGTCATAGCCTGAGCTAAATCACATTTTTTTCATATGTAACATTTTTCTTGCAGCAGAATATACGGTAGCCATAATATCATGTTTAACATTGTTTGTTTATTTATTTATTTATTTATTTTTATTACAACTGACACAAGTAAGGGCCTACAAGTAGAGCAGAGAAACAAAAGTGTTTTTCAATTAGCTGATTTATTATTATGCTACGTAAGCTTATTTCATATAGCTTACGTAGCATAATAGTCATGACATTCTAGCTCTTAAATGTATGATAACAAACGATTATAACACAATGGTCCTAACCTGTTCAGCAATAAATTAAATACCAGCTAACATTAAATATCATCATGTAACAATATATAATTGTCCAACTAGTCATGTTTTAAAAACATATCTCACTAGCGTGTAGTGTGTGGGCTACAGTCTGTAATAGGAAACATATCTGCAGTGTATTAAAACAGGCAATTCAGTGCAAACATCTGCAAGAAAATGTTACAGTGTCTATTTAAACCACTTGGTGGGACTGTTGCCAAAATAAACATTATTTATGGTTTCACTTTGATTTAGTGACTAATCTAATAAAAAAAACACTGGCATAAAAATAGGAAATACTGATATCCTGTATCTGTCATATTTACCTTGTTGAGCAGAAGGCTAGGTGGCACAAGACTAAAAATTGCATGCCCTACAACTGTTGGTTCAGAGCTGTTGCCCTAAAACTGTGGTGACGAATGGCAGTGCAGCTCTGCAAAAGGATACATCTCAGTTTGGCTGTATGTTATGTTGTTTTTCTGCCTGGTGTTTAATAAAGAGCATTACTCACAGCAGAATCATGGCCTCCTCTGTGTCTTACTCTATGCTGATGCCACAATATATGTCCACTAAACTAAATATCATAATTGACAAGATACTGCTTATTTGAGATTATTCTTGTAGTTATAATGAAATACATAATTGTACCCTTCTCAGGCTCTGTTGACCCTTACAAAAAAGAATTTATTTAAGTGTGTTATTAGTATATTTCTTTTAAACTAAAAATAAGTCAGTATGCTTTCAGTTTACTTTCTATGTTATTCAGCTTAGAGTAAACAGTACGTGGGAGGAACTGATCCTGATCGTTCATGTAAATTGTAGAGAAGTGCAAAGTGTTTGTGGGCAGCTAGGGATTGATTTCGGAAAGGCTGCATGACACAAATTCTGATCTCCCACTTCCCTAAGGGCTGTGTTCATACTATGGGTTTCACAGACGAGTCGACCTGTCAGTGACGTCAAGCTTAAAGTGACGCTTTAAGCTTGATGTTGACTAGTCACTGATCACATGATTATGACACTAACAACATGGACGCCTCAGAGACAACAACAGGTGAGGCGGCTGGTGATTTCAGGGCCCATATCTCCAGTTTCCTGAAAGCAAGCTATGTGATTGTTGGAAAGTGCATGTTTTTGGCTTCTTTCTATCGCTGCTCTGCTGATATGCAGAGCTTTAAAGATCAGATATTGAAGGTCATTAGCTCCGGTTTCCCGAAGACTACGATAAAAAGTCATGTTCTACTGACCTGTGGAGTTTGGCTTCGTTATGGATTTTTAAAGTCGCTGGTTGTAAAGTAATTCCATCATCTGTGTTTTTTTTTTTTTCATGATGTCATCAGCAATTAGTTGACGTCAACTTGACTTTCATCACACAACTGTTGACTTTAAAAAATCTGAAGTTGTTCGACCCCTAGTTCGTGCTGTGTGTTTGTTGTGTGGTTTGTTTTGAACTAGAATGTCAATTTGAGTTAAGCTCTTATATTTTGGCATCAAATACAACTTTTTTTTTTGGAAAAATTTGATTTATAAAGAAAACAAATATGTTCTTAATCCTGAGTATATCTTGTAAATTTCTGTATGTGTAGTCCACTTATTGTATTTATTATTTCAAGTCTACTTGTTAAAGGTATGTTTCAAGTATAAAAATAATACCTAAATAGAAACCAAATAGCATATGTTAAAGTGCAAGTATAATATATAAGTAGTAAACTATAAGTATGTTACATTCATTTGAAGAAAACGCACAAGTATACTTGCAGTATGATAACTATTAAACTAGCATTAAAGTAGTTTACTGAAAGTATGTCAGTTCTTCCCCTTTTCTGCTAATAGCCCTCTCTAGTATGTCTCCTTAGCCATGTGCTTTTGTGTTTGTTTTGGTTTTTGTCTCCTTCCTTGTCCTTGGCCCCTCTGAGCCTCCTCACCTGTGTCTAGTTTATGGCTCCTCCCTTTCCGAGGTGCTCCTTGTCAGTCCTTGTCTTTATATACCCCTCTGTTTGCACCTGAAGTTTCCTGGTATTGTATATGTTCTGTTGGATGTATGTTTACTGTTTTGATTTCTTTATTAATTTGTTGGGTTTTTTTTATGGCCTTGTCTTTATGTTAGCTTTGTGACTGGTGTTACCATGGACCCTCCTGCACTCACTGTGTCTGCCTGCTCTATGTCACCTTTGGTTGTTAATTTGGGCTCTAATGAAGAGACTCAGCACATGTATCCACCTGTCTTTGGTGCTACAAAGTATACTTAAAAGCATACTCTGAAACTAAAAAGTGAGACAGAAGTATATGACTAGTAAACTAACAGTATACTTCAAAGCATACTTTCATAAACTGAAAAAGTGGGCTAGACATTTATAACTAGTACCTACAAGTTCACTTATAGTGTAGTTCATGGTATAGTTGTGGTACAAAGTGAACTCAAAGTTTACTGCTCTTACACTTAAAGCATACTTACAAGTATAAAAAATATTGAAGTATTGAAATTATACACTTACAAGCAGTGGCGTCTCTGCCACAGAAAGCCTGGTGGGGCACAATAAACTGTAGGGGCAGCTGCCGACTTGTCAATGAAACTACACACAAGCCTGATCCAAACACAAACACACTCCATCAGTGAAATCCCAAATTCACAAATTAACGTAACGTGGTGCAGGAGTTAGTGGAAGTAGAGACAGGAATATGAGTGATATGATAATGATATTAGATCTTACAAAACCTGGTTATACAGCATCGCATTACAAATACAAAGTTATCAAGCAGTGTATGATCATTGTGGTCTGCAACTACACATCCAAAGCAGCATATCAGAGCAAGGAAACACACTTTATGGGCATTAGGAATAACACACCCTGTAATAATGACTCAAAATGACTCTTCAGTGATGCATGTTGATCTTTTATCTGGGCAAACCTTTCTCTCAAAGTCCACCAGTCCATGAATGAATTCAAGTGATAGCATAGCAAGGTCAGGTAAGGAAAGCAGAAGAGTGTTTTTAGCTACACTCGCAGTCATGTTTTTCTCCTCACCCACTCTGGACGGAAGGAGCAGTTTTTGTCATTTCCAGACTGAATGATGTTGAAATCCCCTGGCTGGTTTTATCGTTTAATCTCTAATTTAATCTCTAATTTCTGCTCTAAGGGCAGGGTACCAAATTTAACTTTTATTACATTTTTGACTTTGACTCATTATATTGCTTTGCTGTTATGAGTGGCTACTTCCAGTACACTGACATTAGGATACCTACTACATGAAGTATACTTGTCAAATATACTTAAATTTTATTTAGGTTTACTCAATTAAATAAGACTTAAGAATATTTTTTTTTCGTAAGGGGTCATGGGTGTGTCACAAAGCGCTCTCTATTCAGTAGTTAGGTTACCTCTCAGGCAATCAGCCATTTTTAGGGTGTCTCGTCATCAAAAAACTTGATTACTGACTGTTCACTATGACCACCTAACCAGAAATAGCATTACATCTCCAGCCTTTAGAACATTTTAAAATGGAGGATAAATGCCATGTGTTATCTCACTTGCCTCTCCATTTCATAAATAAAATAATAATAATAATAATATTTGTTTTTCACATTACCATCAATAAAGGTTTTGCTCTACCAGGATATTTGTCATTATCCATTTTCTACTAACTGAAATGTACAGTAACCTGTTAGATACTTAGCTATAGAGTTGCATTTGTTTCTGATTTAATTTCACTTATTCTTTAATTGCCAGTAACTTCCTACAAAATAATATATAACATGCTATACAAATAAAGTATTGCACTTTATATTAACAAAAAATGACAGTAAAGTAAGTTAATCTGCTAATAGGCTAATAGCTATCAGCTAACAGGCTATAATCAGTTTGTTAGCTACAGCTGCCAAGAATTGCTTTGGTTAACCATGGTTAGCCTAGTGCTAGCAAAGCTGAATACAGGCGAGGAAAGACTAGGCAATGATCTGTGACTTTATAAGAGAATGTTTGTAAAAGAATGAACTGGATTAGTTATCATCCTAGAGATAAATTAAAGTGGATCTTTGCAATCATGAAGAAGCATGTGATGAAAATAATGAAGCTCAATAAAGATTGTTTATTTATCTACAGTCTACAATGCAGAATTTAACATATATTAAGAAGAGGAATTTGAGAAACAATGTGTAAAATAGTAGTTCTGTGTATAATATAAAGGACATTAATAATGCACATAAATTAATAGTATCAGTAGCACTGATGGAATTGTTCACCAGTTTAGTGATTAGTAATACTGCACTGGAATAAATTGAAATCTTATTGACAAAGGTTAAGACATAAAACAATGCACAAAAAAAGAAACTTAGAAGTCAATACTACAATCTATATGCATATCAAATACAGTATTTGCATTTTTATTAGGTGCTTGTGTGTGTTGATGTATTGATGTAGTTTGTTTTGACTTTTAAGTTCTAGCTATAGTTAACAAGATGGGCCTGTGGGACCTATAAAAGTGAGGGTTGCAATGGTTATGCCACTGTCAATACTCACATGGTCTAAAATGCTTACACAGCCATGATCAGACAGAGATTTTCACACACATCATCAAAGCATAAAGAATAGGATCTCATAAAATATGATCATGTTAGTAATTTGCTTTCAGTTCTTTAGCAGCACACCATTTTGAATTTTAAGGTCCAGCTATGCAACTCTGGCTATGGTGTTTAGTTTCTATCCATTCCCACTGACAAAAAACATTGAAAAAATAGGTCAGGTAGCGTTAAAACGCTGCTATGTCATTGTCGAATTTGGTACTTACTGTGCTGTTTTACTACAAAAACTAATGTCAACATAAACATTTCCATGCACTGAGTCATCAAAGGTAGGACATAAATGGTATATAAACATTTTTCACTGGTGTACTCCAATGCTGATGTAATACAGCCATACTTAGATTATTAACATCACATTAGAACATGTGATTGTTAATAATTGAGAGTTAATAATTTTGCTTTTTAATGTATGCTTACATTTTCATCCATCATGCTAGGCTACTTAACTCGTCGCAATACAACAAAAATGAGTACCTAAGTTCATTAAAGACTGTAACTGATTTTTAAAGAAATTTTACAAATACAGGAAGATGACTAATAATGCAAAATATTGATCTATTAATACATGGTAAATTCATCATGACCTATTTTGTTTTTCGTCCTCTGTACTTTTGCATAGACAGCTGTTGATGTACTGGGTTGTTCAGTGTCTGTCTTCATATCTGAAATTAAAAACAAATGAATAAATAAATAGAAATGCAACACTTTTCACTTTGTGTCCTCCATTATATGTAGTTCTGCTATTAGATTATATGAGCATTTCCTCCAAAAACAGTCATTAAAACACTGAAGTACCATTTAATAAAAGATACATAGAGTGGCATTGCCTTTCTTTGCATTTCTCAAATCTGAACATGATTGTGAATGTTTAGAATTTAGATATACATACCAGCATGCTTTGCTAAGCTGTATACAGCACTGCCTTGAACCAGACTGTACACCCCACTCTCAATGTAACTAGAACAAACAGGTTAATTTAAGATTTTAACAAAATAATTAACAATGCTCTTGTATTATTTTGCATTCTGTACTTTTCCAGAATAAGTAAAAGTAAAAAAAAATCAAGATTTATTTTAATCTGGTTCCAGTGGAGAAGCCTGTGAACAGGGCTTACTTACCAAAAAGCATCTGGACTTGTGTCAACTGTGAATAAAATTACATTAGAAATTAGATCTAGAATTAGATCTCGGAAAACTCAACAGACTGCATTACCCACAATACTATGGGGAATCACATGACCTCTGAGGAGATTACGCGCTCCTATCAGAGGTCGCGCTCACCTGAGTACTAAATGTTTGCACCTGTGTTTTGAATCATATGACTCGGGCTTTGGTTTAGTTCTTTGCGAGGTATTGCTTCTCCATGAACATACTGAGCGGTTTTCCCAAGTGTTATTTGCTGTACGTTGTTTGACCATTATTTCGTTCTTTGACTTTGCCTTTTGCCTTTGCCCTTTTGTACTGTTGCCTGTCTTTGCTGATCAGTGTTTTTGGACCTTTGCCTGTTTTTTGACTTCGTTTTTGCCTTGCCCCTTTTTGGACTTTGTCTGCTCGGTGATATGATCACCGCCTTGTTTATGGTTTGTCTTTTGGATTTGACCCACGCCTACCTTCTGACCTTGCATCTGCCTAGCCCTATTAAAACACCTTTTGTCCTTTTAATCCGCGAGCGTCTGGTTTTTGACGAATCCTTACACTTTGGTCCAAATTATGGTGATTTTAGACAGTCCTGTTATTGTGGATTTTCAAGTTTATCAAAAAAGAAGCTGCACTCAAATGACTGACGACATTGTAAACACAAGTAAATAGCTGGTGTTGGTCTATCAAAGTGGATATATTCACAATTCATGTCATAAACTTACCAGTTGCCAATTACCCTTCAAATACAAACGACTAGTTTCATTTTGGTGACAAAATTCTATCTTTAGCAGTTGGCAAGGATAATCTATATCCATCATTAGTCTGATTCCTGGTACACCAAGATTTTTTAAAAGCATCCATGTCGTTTGACAGCGAAAGCAGAATATTGTAAAGTGCTCAGTGTTGAAGGGGCTGTAAACTTATTTTGTATTCCTCCTGCATTAATGTCCCACTGACTGTCACATAAAGAACAATACTGGTCTTTCCATTTGAGAAATTTGTGCCTTTTTCTGTTTCTTCACTTGATTTTAAGTTGAACGAGACTATGTTTGAAGACATTGTTATCAAGTGATTCGACCAATCACAATTAGGAGAAAGTTTTTGTCAGCAGCTCCTAACCACAGCCCCCTCCCCACACAAACCAAAGTCTCTTAAGTTGTGCCTGACCAACTTCCTGTTAGCAAGCTAGTTGGAAAGCATTTTAAAAACACCCACTAAGTGTGGTCAAATAACTGTAATAACGTTTCTGTAATAATAGTAATAAAGTGTCTGATGTGCAAAAATCAGTTAAACAGTTTTACATTAGTGAAACAGGGCTTTGAAGAGCAGCTTGCTTCTTCTGCTCTGTCTCTCTCTGTCTCTGTCTCTGTCTGTATGTCTGTCTCTCTCTCTTTCTTTTCTCTCTCTCTCTCTCTCTCTGTCTCTCTCTCTCTCTCTTCTGTCAATGGAACATCCATCCATCCATCCATTATCTAAACCGCTTATCCTTCTGGGTCGCGGTGGGGTGCTGGAGCCTATCCCAGCTGTCATTGGGCGGAAGGCAGGATACACCCTGGACAGGTCGCCAGTCTATCGCAGGGCATCAATGGAACATGTGATCTGCTAATTGTTTTTCATAATCTGTTGGCTAGCCGACAAATTTTGGATAAGCTATTTTTTTGCATATCATAGCAAGTGCTAAAACTTACCTTAGCAAATGCTAACATTTGAATTTCTACTTTCAATGGCCATCAGAATCATTTTCCAGTTGACCTTTGTAAACCAGTGTCTTCAAAGTCTGACCTCTGGTAGCCAATTAAAAAATGCCATGGTTGTTTATGTTGCAATGGTTATGCCACTGTCAAAACATGCATGGTCTAAAATGCTTACACAGCCCTGATCAGGCATAGCGGTTGAGGTTTTCTAGCGTTTAACCCCTTAAATGACCAGGGCCCAACGACCGGCCTAAAGTTTTACTGCACACTTCTAAAACCTAAGAATAGCTGAACCAGTTTGCACTGAAGTCCCTGTAGCTTCTGAATAATAAGACTTAGTATGTAATAAGTGCTCCATTTGTATTATGGTTGAGATGTTTTGGTATTTCTTTTTTTAAAATCTGACTTGATCAATAATCAAGTCTCAAATCTTTAGGATCATAGAAATAGTTGTAACATTTGCAAACACATTTCCAGCCCCTTTTTAAAGTGTGCATCAGTTGCTCCAGAAGCAACTCGCTAACATGCATAATGTGTGAAAAAGCTATAATTCAGACAAGTGATGTTACCTTCTGAATCTGGTATTGTGGTGTATTCACACATGTCATCAAAAGAGGGTTCCCTGTAAGATTTATAACATAAAAATATGATCAGGCTATTAATGACATTTAAGATAAACTTACATTTACAAAATTATGATGAAATTTTGTGTGTAGACATTGCAAGAAAATGTACCTTTTCATGGTCTGCATCACTTTTTCTGAACCTAGAAAAAGGAGAGTAACATAATATGAATGTACCTGACATGAGCAATTAACAGATCACAGTTAATATAACACTATTTAGAAATTACCTTCATTGTCTTCATTACCTTCATGGTCTGTCTTGACTTGCTCACTGAAACAGTTAAAAACAGTTAAAAAATACAGTTTATACTGTAAGAGTCTAACATGAAGTACTTCTGCTTTCAGTGTTTTGGTGTTCTTTCTGCTCTAACACCTGATCCAACTAATAAACTTTTGCAAACGAGTGAATGGCACACCGCCAAAATCAACCATTTCTGAGTGTTACTTCCTCTGTTCCTTCCTCCCTCAGAACAAACTGAAGTGAGAACAGTGAAGTGAGAAGAGAGAACATTACTGACAGTAAAACCATGGATATTAGGTTTAGAGGTGGTGAAGAGGTTTCACTGGAAATGTGTAATTTAGGTACATGATATCTTGATCATCTGTGGTGGTGTTGTTATTTATTTCATTTCCAAAGTTGGAAATATTTTGGATTGAACTATGTGATACACCACACTCAAAGATCTATGCTTGTTCTGAGGTAAGATAAACTTTACTTAAGTTTCTGTATTTTCTAGCATTCATTTTAATAAGATGACTAATGGTAAATAATAATACAGAAAAATGTTAAGATTAGCAAGCTAATTAATTAGCTTTATCAAGCTAACTGCTGACAGTTAGCTTGATAAATCAATCACATTAAACAGGGCTGAAAGATCTTCTTTACAAGACCACAAGTTCTCCTAAGCATGTAACATTGCACCTTGAGTGTTAGCTTTGTCATTATATTTAGCATTAGCTCATCTGAAGGGGTAATGTCTGCCACTCAAACTTCCTCTTTAGACATGAAAACCCATCACTTTAAGGTCCACTGACTGAAGGATTTTCCTGGTTTGATTATTCCCTCTTTTTCTCTGAATTGGCCCACAGTCACATTTTGTCAATTCTCAAATACCTACAGAAGGGTCCAAAAGTCTGAGACCACATTGAAAATCTGTGATTGTTTTCAGTCAATACTGGAAATAAACAACAGATCATTGCTATCTAAGCAAATTTGTGTCAGTGACCATGTTAAGGTCTTTGTACAAAAAGGTCAGGATCCACTCAAAGTCTTATCCCTTCTATTGAAACTGATGTTTAGATGACTCTCAGATGGACTAATCTACTCATCAGAGGCTTTCATCGCTGTTAACGGTCAGAGTCTGTGCCAGCTTGAGTGCGCACTGTCATTAAAGCAAAAGGGAGTCAAACTTTTAAGAAATTCTGAAATTATGTGAATATTTTAGAAATTCTACTTTTTACTCAGATTATTATGCTTATAATATAATTTGCAATTAAATGTACTGTATCAATTACATTAGTTTATTAGGAAAAAAATGCAAAGTAGAAGCATTTTCAGTGGTCTCAACATTGTGTTCCCCATATATACACTGAGTATAATGTAAAGCCAATTCATTTTTAATAATAAAAGGTTTTGAAATGTACTCTTCTGTGGTTTTGTAAAGTTTGTTTGTGTTGATTTTTTTCAGGCTGCTACCACTACGGATGCTACCATACAGCCTGAGATAAAACTTTGACAGCCAACATTAAGAAAAGGAGGCAGACAAGTCAGAATTTTGCAAATGGCCAATTAACAAGGCCACCCTGAGTTGAAGTGGACAGGTTAGAGCAGAGGAAACACAAAACTGTGCACTATGGCAGTAATGTATTATGTTACTGACAACACATCTTACATACCTTTGCCCTAGGTTTTGGAAGAACTCTGCAATATTAATAACATTTGTCAGTTATTTGCAGATTTTGCTCTTACAGTGTATTAAAATCACAGGAAAAGGATTACAAATTTGACTGTCATTACGTGTTTCTTTCTTTTTATGTCTTCACATCTTTACAAAAAATTACATCTCAGGTCTGCTTAGCAAAAGTGAGAAAACTGTTAACAATACTTACTCTTAAATATTCTTCTTGTAATACAATACATTCCAAGTAGAAGTATCCCAACCAGGAGCACAAGGAGCACAACACCAAGAGGAACCTTTTGTGTTCCTTTTGAAGAGTTCTCTTCAGAATCTTTTGGTTTAACACCTACAAAGACATTACTTTTTTAATGTTTTTTAATGTCATAAATGTGTATTGTTTCCATAAGCTACATAACTTTAATATAACAGTAGAAATTACATTCACATATCACTGTACACTAGACTTGGGTTGCATTTCCTCATACTGAGAAATAAACAAAGAAACTGTGAAAAATACATGGTTGCTTTGTGAGAATTTCCTGAAAGTCTATAATTTCTGAATTTACAAGTGAGTTCTGAGAAAGTTTGTCTTTGGCAATTCCATCTCAATAAACAAGTGTCAAATACTTCATCTATTGATCATCAAGCACTGATCGCCAAATGGCAATACTTTCTTTTGCAGTCCTCTACGTTCTAGATATTAACCAAGCAACTATGAGGTATACATTTCTGAGTACTATATAAGTATTTTGTGTAAAATGATAGCAAGTTTCAAGACAGTTTGTTTAAATTACACTAAAATGCCAAAGAGGTTTGACATATCAACTGAGTAAGTGTGGCAGGCAAACTCCAAAGTGCTGTGTAATTATTTTGGGTAAAGTAATGATAAGTACCAAGATCATCCAACTAAATGACACTGAAATAGCTTTTGTGCTGGTAAAAGACAAAGTAAAACACATTTGTGGAGTAAATATCAATGTAATGTCATACAATTAAGCAGGAAAGTAAATTACAAATACACCCCAGTACCAGGTAAGTTGTATGGCATACAATGGTGGCAAAGAGTACAAAGATATAGTTATAGATAATAGACAGGTTTCTGTAAGACAATTAGAACTTTGATTGATCTTTTTATGCCATAACTGCCAGGTAAAACATAGCTAAATAATTACACTATACTGTGATGTTTGTTGTTCATTCTTACCTAGTCAATATCTAGAACTTTTGGGTATTTTAGTGTAATTTAGTTCAATGTCTTGAAAGTGACCATTATGTGACCAAAATAATTATCTAGTATTCTGGACTTTTATTATTTTAAAATATGCAAGAAAATAAAAATTTTGGAAAAAAAAGGAATTTCAAACCAATGTTTGAACATTTCAAGGGTCCATGGTCATAACAAGCATGGCCCCTAACTGTTATGAAAATTTAGAGCAAGCCAGAGATGATTTACAATGCACTGGCTCAGCTGACTTGTTATAACCAAATAGTTATAAGCATATTTTATTCTGAAATAATTTATTTTATTCTGAAGCAGTCATAAATTAATGAACATGAATAATAATAAGATTATTCTTAAGTATTATTAGTACCCTTAACACTACACAGCTTTTGGGAAACTAGCTTTAGCTTCTTTTCAATTTGCAAAGCAGAGCAGTCCTAAACCTTAAACTAACTTCTTAATCATATATACTGATATATTTTGATGTGGTCATAAGGGAAAATTTGACTCATATCTCTTAACAGTAAGCTGGACAGAGTTTTGTCCATTTGTGTTCAGGTTCTTTGGAGGATACGTGTAAGAACTGTAATCCGTCAGAGATGCTCATATGACTGGCATGAATAAAATATCTTTCCAGAAAAAAAGGAAAGACAAGATGTTACCATATAAATCTATAGTATGGGAAAATTAGAGTAATAGCTGCACATTAGAGCTGGGCTAAGATTCCCAATATGGATGAGATCAACAATTGAGAGGTGAAAATTGTGTGCTGGTTTTTTATGATCCCTGAAATGAAACTCAACTGTTACATTTACAAGTGAGTTTAAAGTGTTTTGTTAACATTGCTCCAGCAACAGCTGACAGCATTGTTTATCAATGAGCAAAACAATATATTCACAAATCCATGATATATTGGTCAATAGTCTGAATATATTATAGTCATTCAAAGTAATGATATGGTAATTTAAAAAGCACTGTATTCATATGGTTAGAACAGTGAACAGTGAATGGTTAGAACAAAATCCTTATCTCTAAAATTTTACAGAAGAAGGAAAAAAACATTCTTAACTTGTTATAGAAGTTAATGTAGCAGGTAATTAAGGACATTTTTTTGTTGGTCCCTGCATCATGAACTTTTGACACAATGTAAAGAGTAACAGAAGTTATCAGTTGTGTAAAAAAGTAAAAAATGCCTACAATGGAGATACAAGGTTTTTGCGCAACAGCTTGTTTAGAATTATTGTGCAAAATTCAGAAACCACTCTTTCAGGTTTTTCATTTCCAGTCAAATGACCATAATGAATGAGGTATTCCTTTTTCAAAACAAAAAAAATACAGCATATATTTATCAAAAGGCTCAACAACCAAAAGTAATATCACCTTATTAGTATTTATTAATTCCAAACACATTTAGGTCTGGACTCTGAGGTGGTCTATCCATTGTTCTGAGAACACCAGCAGCTTCTTTGCTTGATTTACAAACACTCTTACTCAGAGCACTGAGTTGTCTTCTCACAGTGGAAGGATAGACAAACACCTGTGGATTTTTCAGATCTGAACGAAGAGTGGAGCTTGATTTTCTCCTCTTTCTCAAAGATGAAAGCTTTAAGTGTTGTTTGTCTGATGGGGACAGTTTTGGTGTCTACTAGGTCTTACACGGTTGTCAGGAGTCTAATGTTCTCTGTATCTTTTAATAATCTTTTTAAACTCCAGTTTTCAAAACTGCCTTTTTTTTTTTACTTGACTTTCTGCTACATAATACAGATACGTTATCTCTTTAGATTTATCTCCTGAAAGATGAATAACTTGAATTTACATTTTGACTGGTAATTAAACAAATGAAGAGAGGTCTCTGACTTTTGCACTGTACTATGTTTATGTCATTCTTCTACATTTTAAGCATCCATTTAAAAATATTAAGCTTTTAACAGCGTGATGTAAACAGGAGTAGAATAACTCTGAGTGCGCACTATTATGACAAACAATGAAGAGCAGAGCAGACTGTGTCAATTTACAAAGCATTTTAGGATTAGGATTACTGACTGGATGCTGGTTAAATTACACAGCTAACATGTTTTGTTAGGTATGAAGTGTTGTGAGAAGCACTCACACATTAACTAAGAATCTTAAGACATTGTCCATTACTAGCCACATTGTCCAGTACTACCAAACTTGCACAGTTATATATTTTATACAGCACATGACTGACTTAACCATAAACTGTAAACTTCTTGATTTTCTATGATGGTATGTATCATTATAATGATGAGGGTCATATGATAATAACATCGATTAGTTACGATTCACTTAGCACCATTCGTCAAACTGACCCTACTTTATTTACATTCTATACTTACATTTCTACTGTTTTAATTTATATGATTATGGGTGATATTTCTTACCAATGACTTGGACGTAGACTGAGTTCTTTCCTGATGCAGTCACATTCTTAGGAGGATATTTGTTTAATGAGTAAACACAACTGTAGTTTCCCGAGTCCAGCACTGAAACATTTCTCAAAGTGAAGATGAGCTCATCTTTCTTTACAAGTAGTTCCAACATCATTCCAACACCATCTTTACACAGATATATGTTAGTCTGGTCTTTTGATGCATGTTTGTCAAAGTTGCTGCACTTTAACTGTAGATCTTCCCCAGCATTTACGGTGCCCTTTCCAATAATTTCTGCTCCCCAAAAATGATCTGTTGATCAACAAATTACAAATACTTGTGGAAATACATTTCTGTATACTAATGAAGATTATACATGTGAGAAAAGGAAATGAAATACCTTGCATTGAAGCTACAGATATCATCATCATCATTACTGGCATGTCTTCAGGACAAAATTAGATGAGTTTGATGTGGAAAAAGTGTTCAAAACTTTTTTTATATAAAAGATCTTTATTTTTACACTGATAAATTTATCGTGTTAATTCATAGTTTTAAAGTTTAAATGAAATATCAAAGGTTACTTACATATTGTGAAGCACCATGTGTCCATCGCTGATCAGACAAGTCACATGAACCTGAGGTTAGTGTGTCTACTGTCCCCTGATCATGCAGCTTCTGGGTGAAGCTTTATTAACCACACTGTAATCAGCACAGTTCTTCTTATTGGCCAGTGACAGCACAGACCTACTGAAACAGCACTCTGAATTTTCAATCAGTTGGTTTTCTTATACTCCTTGTATACGTTCCTTTTTTATTTGATCAGCTCCATAATTATTGGTACCCTATGTTAAGATGGGTAAAAAAGGTAATGACATGTCTTTGTGGTTAATTAGCTGAATCTCACTCTGAAAATATGTGGAAAAACTAACCTTTTATTGGAGTATCTTTGATACAAGAAAACAAAAGCTCATCTTTTTTTAACAGAACCATATGATTAGGGTGATTCGGATTAGGATGTATGTTATGGCTCACATGACCATTCAGTTTTAACATTCTTTACATGTTTACATTGCATGTTTCTTTCTTTTTATGTCTTTACATTGACATCACAGGTCTGCTTAGCAACAATGATAAAAGTGTCAACAATACTAACTGTTAAAAATTCTTGTTCTAGTATGATACATTCCTAATGGAAGTATCTCAACCAGGAACACAACACAATTTGTCAAAAAGCATCGTCTATTGATCATCAAACACTGATTGCCAAATGGCAATTCTTTCTTTTACAGTCCCTTAAGTTCTACGTATTAACCAGGTAACTATGAGGTATAAACTCCTGAGTACTAGATTATTATTTTGGGTAAGAAGACAGCAAGTTTCTCACTCTGAAAGTTTGAGGAAAAAACCTTTTTGGAGGATGTTTGGTACAAGAAAAAACTCATCTTATTTAGGGGGTGGTTGGGATTAGGATGTATGTTATGGCTCACCTGAGCACCCAGTTTTAACACTGGGCCAGAGGGCGTCAGACTTCCATTTCAACTTTCCTGGTACTTACTGAGTCCATAATTCCATGTATGTTAATGAAGTTCTCACCCCTTGTGAGGGGAAACAGAACCAACACATCTCAGATCCTCTTTCATACTTAGATTCATTTCTGTAGAATCATTCTTCTTTTTCACATCATGCCCTCATTGGGGGTTTGTTGCCAAAAAAAGCTCAGCTGAACTAATAACCTAGCTGCACGCAATGTTTCTAGTAAATGTCATGGGCTTACAGTTTTGGTTGCATGAAAGCAAATGTATTCTTTTCACACACTTTCCAAATACTTTGTTTCATCTATAAACCCAAATATATATATAATTTCAGCTGATACAAGTGTTTTCTGTATTGCTGCATTGATCACATTTCGTCATCTTTTGTACCTAACTTACCTAATGTTATTAACATTATAGTGAAAAAAGGAGTATGTACATTATTAACCTGCATAATGATCTTTAATTTCATTCCACATAAACTGTTTTAGAAAACGGATTTACATATAATTATACTGATGATACAAACACTGAATCAACAGTGTTTACAATGAGAAAAATCAAGATTAATCTGATTTTAAAAATGTGTTGTGAAAAACAATGGCCTTTGAACTGCATGTTAATCTGATAAGGTGCGTGTGAAGATCTGTTGAGGTGAGGCCTGTGTTGTTTTCTCACAGGCTTTGTGAAATTCTCTGGGTTGCTATTTTAATCAGCTAGGCTCTGCAACTGAAACTGAGTGTATATCACTCTTCCTGTGAATGGAGCTCATTACCAAACACATGAGACAGCTTACACTGCTGCTTTCACTAATTATCTGCCCATGTTTACTTTATCTTAAATCTTAAAATCTTACTTTAACTCAACTTTTTTTTGATGAATTCTGTGATGTGTGGTGTCAAATTTCACATGAAATGTCTATCTTAAAAACCATATAAACTGATGGCCCTCGCCACATTAACATTATAGGGCATTTCCTTAATCAATTTTAATTTATATTTTAATCAACTGAGCAATTTATGCAACTGAAGCCCCCATATTAGGCTAATTGCTCAATGGTGGTGCCACTCAAAACCTCTCAATATTGTGGTGTCAGCCACTTGCTCTGTGTTTCAGAAGGTGCTTTAGGCCGTGGGATGCAAAGCTATGGTGGTTATTGTATCTAACTACATTTACAAGATAAACCAACAAGGTAGGTGTCTCTAACAGAGTGGACAGTGAGTGGACACAGTGTTTAAAAACTCCAGCAGCACTGCTGTGTCTGATCCACTCATACCAGTACAACACACACTAACACACCACCACCATGTCAGGGTCACTGCTGATCCACCACCCAAATGATACCTGTTCTGTGGTGGTCCTGTGGGGGTCTTGACTACATGGGGTAAAAAAGGCTAACACATAATGAAGAGAAACAAATCTCTAATTGAAGAATTTCATCCCACAATGCTATATATTCATTTGTAAAAAATATTGGATCCAACAAGCTTTGAAAAGAGTAACATTTGATGTACAGTCTATGACCAAATGTATATGGACACCTGACCACCACACCAATATGAGCGTGTGGAAAAACTCTGAATATGGATAATATGGAGTTGGCCCACCCTTGCAGCTTTAATGGTCTCCACTGTTCTAAGAAGGCTTTCCACAAGATTTTGGAGTGTGTCTGTGTGAATTTGTGCCCATTCAGCCAAAAGAGCATTTGTGAGGTCAAGCACTGATGTTGGACAAGAAGGCCTTGCTCACATCAGCTGTTACAGTTCAGTCCAAAGGTGTTCAGAGGGGTTGAGGCCAGGGCTCTGTGTAGGTCATTGGAGATCCTCCACACCAAACTTGTCAAACCATGTCTTTATGGAACTTTCTTTGTGCACAGGGGCTCAGTCATGCTGGAATGGGAAAGGGCCTTCCCCAAAACTTTGCCACAAAGTTGGAGGCATACAATTGTCTAAGATGTATTTGTATGCTGTAGCATTAACAATACCCTTCCTTGGAACTAAGGGGTCTATCCTTCCTCCACCAAACTTTACTGTTGGCACTATGCATTGCAGTAGGTAGCTTTCTTCTGGCATCAGCCAAACCCAGATTCGTCTGTCAGACTGCTAGATAGTGAAGCATGAGTCATCGCTTCAGAGAACACGTTTGCACTGCTCCAGAGTCCAGTGCTTCCATTCCAGTTAGCACAATGGCATTATGTTCTCAGAATTGTGTGCACCTGCTGTGTCATGGAAACTCATTTCATGGAGCTCTTGACTTACAGTTCTTGTGCTGATGTTGTTTCCAGTGGCAGTTTGGAATTCTGTGGTGAGTGATGCCAAAGATGACGGCAACGAGTTTGCATGGTTTACCACTTCGTGGCTGAGCTGTTGTTGCTTCTAGGCACTTCCATTTCACAATAATACCACAAACAGTTGACCGAGGCAGATCTAGCTGGACAGAAATTTCACAAACTGATTTGTGGCAAGGGTGGCATCCTAAGACGGTGCCATGTTTAAAGTCACTGAGCTCTTTAGTATGAACAGTTTTACTGCCAGTGCTTGTCTATGGAGAGTGCATGGCTACATGCTTGGTTGTATTCACCTGGTAGCAATAGGTGTTTATTAAAACACTTGAACTCAAAAATTAGCAAGGGTGTCCACATACATTTGGCCACAGAGGGTATAATTTTTATTTTTGTAATAAAGGTGGTATTAGTCATATTGTTGATATTTGTTGTACGTGTAGAGCCACTCCAAACAATGTATATCATGAAAAAAAGAAAATGCAATTTGGAATGAAACCCTTGAAATATAGAACTATGAAGTGCACCTATATGGTAAGCGGACTTAATAAAATGGAAATTGAAGGCTTTGCAACATCAACATCATATTTGTAAAGTGACTTTTAGAATAGTAAAGCTTTATTGTTCTTGTCTTTAATCATGTAAATACGAACACGGTGCAGACTTTGACAAATCCAGAGCTACAGATCATCCCTGCTTTGATATCAAAAGTAGACATCAAAAACCACAATCAAGCATCCAAACATAAAGACTCCAAATGAACACAGCAATCTCATCAAATTGATCTGCCATTGTGGATCTGAAAAAAATAAATACATTTGCTATTGATGACAGTAATTCATGGTTCATTCATGTTTAATTGCTAAATGAATACAAGCTATTAAGTGAGGTTAAGAGCTGCTCAGGCTTTACTCACCATACACTTGAATGAGAATGGAGTTCTCTCTTTCTGTATCAGTAACTTCACTGACATCATATTTCTCAGCAGAGTACACACAACTATAAACACCCGAGTCTTCGAAAGTCACATTTGTAATGAAGAAGTGTGAGTGACTTTGATTATACAGAGATTTTGAGATTTTTCCAAGGCCGTCCTTGCAGACATAAACATGAAGAAGTTGAGGTTTCTCAGATTCAGAGATGCTGCAGGTCAGTTCTATATCCTCTCCCTTCTTCACAGTGGACCTTTCAGATCGTAGCACTGCACTCTTTACAGGCTGAATACCTATAATCATGGAATTTTAAAATTATTTTTCACAGTATCAGATTTTAATGAATGAATGAATGAATGAATGAATGAATGAATGTATTAATTTATTTATGTATTTAAAGTTGTTAATACATTGAGTCACATGCAAAAGTTTGGGTGCCCTGGTTAAATTACATGTTTTGTTATGATTTTCAAAGAGAAAATAAGTTAATATCCTCACAGTACTGCATATTTTAATGCGCATTTACAGTTTATTGGCTGAACATATTGGGGAAAAAGGTCAAATGTGCCCTGTGCAAAATTTCCGCCAAATTTTATGTTTTATTTGTTTCCAATATGTTAAACTCAGCAAATAAATAAAAGATGTGGACTAAAATTTGCAAAACAAAATAATAATAATAATAGTAATAATAATTAATTTAATATTACATTTTTCTGTGTTGTTTTCCCATATAAAATCAATAAAACATAAAATAAATAAATAAATAAATAAATAAATAAATAAAACCTGGACAAATTATTGTATTTTATTTTGGATACGACTGTGTATATGAACATTTGCAAGGAAATAAAGTACATTTGGTAGAGATTCTGATGCTGTCATCATTGTTGATATATCTTTATAGGAA